GACTGCTGACTTCTGTTCAGCTCCTTGTTATTCTTCTCCCACTGGTGATCCTGCAGTCTGTCCTTTTGCAAGGGGTCAGTGCATCCCAATGCAGGAGTGCCTTTATGGAACTCCAGGAGGTTCATGGTGCCCCATTTCTTGTGCCAATCAAGCTCCCTCTGAATAGCTCCCTCTGAATTTTCCTCTAGTTTATCAACAGCTAAAAGTCATCTCCAAAATATGGACCGCCAGATGGAGCCAGTCCAGGATGTCTATTGGAGACGCAGGCATAGGAGAGTCATTGGATTTACTCTTGAATAAAATCCTGGTCTACAAGCTTTGTAAACTTTGTCCTTTAGCTAACAGGTAAACAGTCCCTTTCTGGTGGCAAAATGGTTAGACTCAAACTAGGGTAGATGCTGATATCAGTCCCCCAAAAGTTACTTCTCCGAGTGGTGTGTCTGCCAGTAGGAACCTTGAGATTTTTCTGTGGCTTGATAGTGCTGCAGGCTATGCTGTAGTAATTGCATAGACCCCAGAAATAGAAGTCAGTGACAGAAATACCACATCAGCTTTGCTTATAGGTAGGCATTGAGGGCCCTGTGTGCCACTTGGGGCAATACCAGAACCAAGGAAGGCTCTGATAGTCTGGCATAGAATGCAACATTTTGTTTTTCCTATGCTACTACTGCAGGTATCAACACTTAACTGTTATCTGCACCCAGTACGAGGTCACAGTAATACTAATCCCCAAATCAAGCTTAGAAAGAAAATTGAGCCCTGCAAAGCTGCAATTAAGGTACTGTATTTGTGTCTTGGAACTGTTGTCAGCAATAAATGCAATCCAGGGACCCTGAAAGACAATTGAGAAAACACACACAATGTTTGGATTGATCTTGTCACTGAACTAACTATAAGGTCCAGAGTACTGAGGTCAACACAACAACTCTGAATTGTAAGTGTATGGTTCTCTGAGTAAGCTCAAGGCCTGAGACAGGCAATAACACGCTGCAGAAAATGGGACTGTGCATGGTCATCCCTTGCAACCTATGAACATCCTTTTTCAGTAGGACTGCTATTTGCTTCATTTCAGACCAACAACATTGCTTAGCTGCTGCCATTTCCTTCCTTCCTTTCTTCTTCACCTTTTACTGGGGAATCCAGCAAGAAGGAATAAAAGGAAGTAATTTGCAGTGTTGTATGTGGATCACTGCAGATCATTAAAAAGGAAATAAGGTATGAAAACCAGTTGACTCTCCACTGTTCATTTCCTTCTCCCCTTGCTCAGACCAAGAGTGCAGACAGGTCCGTTTAATTTCTGCTTTGGTTTTCCGCCTCTCCAAGAAGCTAGGGCAGCAGTGTGTTGGATGGGGTTTATTTATTTATTTAAACAAGTGTTAAGACCTTGCTTGTTCTGTTCACCCTAGGTACAACCTGAGGACAGCATGAATAACTAACAGCAGCAGAGGACCACCCGAGTACCCCAGAGTGTAGCTTAGCAGCGCAGCAGGGTGAACATGGAATCAGAGTCTGGATGAAAATTGGCATTTGCAGGCTCCACCAACATTGCCACACAGTGTTTGTGTTGCTAACTTGAGCCATGACAGCAAGAGAAAGGACAAATCCTGAACCTCAATTGTGATGACAAGGAGCAGCACATAAATCTGTCATCCCCCAAGCAGCAACTGGTTTTCCTCAGAACATAGACTCAGGCCATGTTCTTTGAGAAGATGGAAATGCGTGTTTCATACCTTTGCACTTAAGAGAGTCCTGCACTTTGTGTCCTGGCTCTAAAGACTTAATTTCAGAGTCACAGAAAAAACAATTATCAAGTACAGAACCCATGGTAATGACTGTACTTCCACAAACCTTAATAATTTTTCCAATTATGGAAGGAGCTGTGAGATGTAATCTTGGCCACTAAAACTCTCCTACCTATCATACAGATGTTCACAGCTCAGGAGCTTTCATTATGCTGTGAAATACTCATCAAAATAGAAGCAATGTCATTCACACATGCACCTGTGTTGCTTTGGCACAGCCCTTGCAAAGGTGCACATCATCAAGAGAATTACTCAGGGCAGAACGGAGCCGTATGTTTTCCAGACTCCAAACCAGATCATAGCCTAATGATTACTTTCAGTTAAGACACACAAACACAAGTTGTTCTGAAAGGCCTCTTCAACTATTAGCTGTTCAAGACAATCTGAGTACACATTGACAATTAGAGGAAGAAAAGGGAGAGGTTTATAATTTTTTTAAAATAAACTTTTAATGTGCTATATAGGCATGATCACTACAAGATCTCCCACCTATATGCAATACTACACACTGCAACACACCGTGCTTTCACTGTACATTAAAAAGTCTGGGAAGAATATTCTTTCACTGGAAAAATATCATACATTCACTTAAATAAAGACAACATTACAGTGCAAACAAAATCCTTGTTTTATTTATTCTGCAATTGCCAAGTACTTTCTAAAAGTCTTTTTAAAAAATAATCTGAAAAACCTTCCCACAGACACCCATTTTCTGAGATTATTTCCTTTTGCTGAACCAAGAATCCTGATCTAATCCTTGAAGCTGTAATAAACCGTATACACATTTGTATGATGTATATTGACTTGATTTGTATGAAGCAAGGGATCCCAAACCAAAATCTGCAGACAGCAATAAAGTGGCACCTGTTGGCTTCAGCTGACTTTCAACCAGACCCATGACAAGAAGGGTTTGGTACAACAGTCATCTCGATGAGCTAAAGACAATGTGCTTTACAAAAGCCTGGCAAGGCCTTGGTTAACGATAATGTTGGTTTCTACTGGTAACAGCTGTTAGAGAGAGTAGGAGCTTATTTTTCTATTACAGAAGAAGAAAACCAGACCATAGAACAGCAACAATGCCAGATTCTCAAAAATGCACTTTGACATGCAAAATAAGAAATATGACATATTTCTGTCCCAAGGGGCATGATGGAGTTGCC